CTTGTGTGTCATACAATTTCTCTGGATCCTTCAGCTGAAACCTGTCACCTTCAGTTGTCCTGGGAGACAGTGGTTACTCCTGGGATGAGCATTCAAGTACCCATCCACAGCGCTTCTATACATGGAATGGAAGAGGACACCTTGTTACTGTTTTTCTCAGATAGCAGAACTCTCATGAGCTGGACCTTAAAGAGACAAAAGTACTCTTTGTGCTGGGCTGCCCTGTCAGTTTTTGGCTTGGAGCAGTTTTGCAATTCTGGTCCAGGTTAGGGTCATTGTTTGGCTAAAGCAAACGTAGATACAAAAAACAGGCATGCTTCCCATGTCTTTTTGACGTGTGAAAATGATTTTTGTAAGTTTTTTATTATTTGCTGTTTTATATATGTATATTTTAATTATTTGATGATTGTTAGCCGCCTAGAGTGGCCCTGAGTTGGCTAGATAGGCGGGATATAAATAAAATAAAATAAATAAATAAATGATTGACAACTTGCATTTCAGATCAGTTCAAGTGAGAAGAAATAAATTACTAGGATGGGGAGATCCTGTAAAGATGCCATTGAATGTAGGCTTTACAGCTCTTTCAGTTGAATGTTGTCCTATTAGCCAAACTGCATTTTAGCTAAGAAGAAAATCTTATATGTACCTACTCTGAAGTAAGCCCCATTGAGTTTTGTGGTGCTTATTTTAAGGTAAGTAAATACAGAATTGCAGCCTAATGCATCCCCAGCAAACCTTTTCATTGGTAGTGTACAATGTTTTACCATACAGAGCTTCATGTAAGAAACTGTTTTTCTAGGTTGCAGGTCCTGGATTAAAATATCAGACACAGACAAGCATAAAACAATTCAGGGAGCAACACCACTGGATTATTTTTAAAGGGGACAGATCTTTCATAAGTATAAATAAGCTGAAGTGTGCAAATACTCTGTAAAAGCAAGTAAAAACATTTCTTTCACCAATCTCATTCAAATAAAGCTTTCAACAGGATGTACACTATCAAATTTCAGTTCATGCTCATAACAACCCTTACAGCATGATTTGAATGAATATTTCAGTATAGTTTTGTTATTTTGACATAGGTGGCGAATTACAGACAAGATCCAGAGGGCTCATTCTGCTGATGGATGAACAGGGAAGGAGACGGATCTCTCTTCTTCCCTAGAGCTTTTTCCTGTGAAGTCTGAAAATGTGACCTGAGGATTGCAGGAAAAGCCTTTGGAATAGGAGGGAAAGGGAAGAGAGGAAAGCTAGTACAGTATTGGATTTAGACCCTATTTATATTCTTGAGCACAAGGCTGACACAACAAAACATACCTTCAGAATGTTGACATTCTGATTTTCAGGCGAGCTGTGCATACTTTCTTAGAAGATAGTTCTGTTGAACTCAGTGTGATTTATTTCCTACTTAACATGAACAAGATAAACCTAGGATATCGCAGATCATAAATGTGGTTATGAGGATGTTGGCATGCTGCTCCGAGTGAATATGACTACGCCTTGGCTGTAGATTACTTGAACTTGCTTTTAAAGATACCAGAAAAAAGTGCCATAATATGCTCTTGAATAGTAACATTTCATATTCATGTATGCAGCTAACAGTATACAAGAGGAGACTGGTGGTGACTAGGAAGATTACCCATGAATTACAGAATTTGGATATAAACATATAGGACAGGGCATGGTGCATGTGGAAATCGTGATGGGTTAGAAAGGACTGGGCTTGTGGGTGAGCCAGAGTGCTGATGTTTGTTGGCCGAGTCCTCCCACTTGAAGTGAGAATGAATGGTTAAAATCATGACCATTGCTGTCTATGGCTGGTTTTTTGTGACATCCAAATATAACAGAAGCCTGCTTTTTGGCTCGCATCTCCCCTGAGACACCAAAGAAATAACCCACAGTCTGATTTACAATAGCCTGGGGGATAGATAAGGCAGAACATCCTTCTTGCTCAATTTTGATGTTACACTCTAAGGTATAGATGGAAACAAACCTGCCCAGTTGGTGATAAACCTGGGTTTCCAGGCTGATTGTGATGTACAAATGTGTCCATAGGTAAGTTGTGTTCTCATAAAAGGTTAATGGTGATGTTTTAGTTGTGTAGAGGCACAGTGGTGGAGCATCACTCTTGAGCAGCTGATTGCTTGCTTGCTTGCCTTTGGTAGCTCTGGGACAAATAATGAGACTTCACTGCAGTTGTAGCATGAGAAAGCTAATAAACTGGTAGGTTCTATTATGTGTCCAAGAAAACAGTGGCCCTTACAGAGAAGGGCCACACACCATCCAAAATGTTCACAAAATTGTATTGGACTCAGAATATTTACCAAATTAGCAAATTACTGATTTCAGAGAACTAAAGATTAAACTTTGTGATTTGTCCTAAAAGGGCACAAGCTGTTGAATCAATGGGACTTGCATACATGTCGAAAGAACAAGTTTGATCCGGTCAACCAGTCTGCTTCTGTGGATTATCCCTTAGTTTAAGGGTGGAGGCTATTTTGGTCAGCTGTCTGGTTGTAACTAGCACAGACATAATGGGCAGGTAAGAAATGTGGTTGTGGGTGGCGTCTTTCTTTTTAAACCTGTCTTTTGTAAAAGTGCTTCTTAGCTACACTAGCAAGCCTATTTTTTAAAAAACCCACATGACAGGAGCGAAAGCCACAGCAGAACATGCTGTATTGTTTTGTTGATGCATATCATTGGCATGTTGTGCAATGGGAAAGCTACCAAAGCTAAGAATGGGGAAGCTGGGAAGCTCAGATTGCATACGAATGGCCTTCCATGGCAGTCCAACAGCACAGCATTTTTGCCTTGGATTGCACTGTCGTCCCATCTCTGCGGGGCACCTGACCACTCAAGTGTTAAAAGAGTCCATATCTGCATTTGAGACACGGAAGCTTTATTGTACAATGGCTTACTTGACAGTAAAGCTTTGAGATAAGGTGGGATATATATGTCCATAAGCAACCGTTCATAATATTCTAGAGGCAGCAGCGATAGCTGCAATTCTTCCGTGTCATCGGAGGTCTCTCTCTCTCTCTTTCTCTGCATGCTGTATTATCTTTTGTTCAAGGACCACATCCATTTGCTTGAGAAGTGTAATCCCTTACGTAAGTGTCATACTGATTATTTCAGTGGGCAGAGCTTAACTTCATTTATTTATTCTGAGTTGGTTTGCCAGATGTCTGGCATCCTAAACCCTGACTCACATCTCTTGCCAATTTATACTTGGATGAATAGACAAAATTAGAGGAGAGGGAGGGAGCACTCGCAGAGTTTTGTTACCACATGATTCTATGCTGTTGTGGTATTCTTTTCTCAGCAGTGGCCTTCAGATATTCTGGGTATACTTTCTGCATCAGTGTAAATACTGAGGAACCGGGGGGGCGGTAATCACACTATGGATAGAGGTGGGGAAAGTTCCTTTTGGGTGGGGGGGTGGTCTACAACTTCAAGAGAACTACTAGATACCTCTGTGATTTAGGTATCTTGCCACAGAGCCAGAGGCTGGGAGTTCAGTTCCCCACTGTGTCTCCTTGGCAGGGGCTGGACTCCATGATCCATAGGGCCCCTTCCACCTAAGATTGCAAGAATATTCCATTCAGGAAGGCCATTATGGGGGTATTCTGGGATATGTAGTAACCTTTCTCTTTTTTTGACCATCTGTACATAATTTCAGAACATGTTTCAGGACAGTGGTTCCCAACCTTGAGTAAACCAGGTGCTCTGGGACTGCAACTCCCAGAAGCCTTTGCCACTAGCTGAGCTGGCTGGGATTTGTGGGAGTTGCCATTCAAGAAAAACCTGGCTTATTTAAGGTTGGGAACCAGTGTTCTGAGGCGAAAGGTAGATCATGGTTCACTTGGAGAGTTCTATAAAGTTTGCAATACATCAGCAGTTGTTTCTGCCTCACAGTGGTTTATCAGCAGCAACAACAAAGTCCTTCCCCCCCCCCCTTTTAAATGAGACTGCTAAAATCAAGACCAAGACAGGTTAAAAGATAAACAGTTGTATGTGCAAAAGACTTGGCATGTAAGCTGAAATTCTGATAACAAATTCTTGGGAATATGGAGGCATTTTTGGGGCATTCTTTGGTTACCTTTTTGAGCCTATGTGTATCATT